GCCCCCTGGGGAGCCTCCGGCAGCAGGGAGGGAGGGAGGCCACAGGCCGGGGTCTGGGGACCCCGAGCACGGAGCCATTTCTCCATTCCCAAAGCAAGGAGGTGGAGAACCAGTTGCTGGGGGGATTGACAGGGTTCGGGGCCTCAAAAGGGTTTGGGGTGCTCCCTGCCCTACAAAACACGGCTGCAGGGGGTTTCTCTGGGCCATGCATTCAGGCACTGTGCTGGGATCCCCATCCCCAGGCAGCGTTTCGGGCCAGGCGAGGTGCTGGCAGCACAGGCAGGTTGCTAAGAGCAGCTGTCTGCTGCCTGCTCCCACCTCCAGCCCCCCTCCCGAGAGGGTTTCGGGGAGGGCGGTGGATGAAGCGCCATTAGGCAGAGCCTGCTGCTGACACCTCCTGCCTTGTGCAAACCCTGGAAGGGGCAGGGAGCAGGCAGGCAGAACGGGACCATCTGCCCACCCGCGCCCTGCCCGGCAACACGGGGCAGGCTCAGGGCGGGAGCTGCCGCGGCGCCGGCAGCAGAACAACCTTGTCCCCGGCACAGGGACGTCTGGAGCACAGGCTGCTCCACGTCCCCTGGGACACGGAGTGCCACGAAGCCACCCTCGCCGCCCAGGGCATCCTGTGCTCTGGGGATTAAAAGCCTAGGCGGCCAAAATCCGTCCTCCACAGGCTGTAGGAGGTTCCTGAGCTCCTGGGGAGCCCATGATCCTTAGCACAGGATAAATCCCTGCTCCAAAGGCAGGTGGGGAACCCGGCACTGCACTGGGTGATGTCGTCTGCACAGCATTGTCTCTGGACGCTAACCACTGCTGGGAGGGGCCGGGGGAAGAGGTTTATTTGTCAGGCTCACAGGCCCTCAGTGGGTGCTGGGCATCCTGGGGATGTCTATGCAGAGCACTGCTCGCCCGGGCCACCCACCCCGGCCCCTCCTCGCTGCCCCAGGCAGCCAGGCTGGGGTTTGGGGCAGGGGAAGGAGCTAGGAAAGAGGAAGGCTGGGCTTTAAAAAGAGGAAATGAAGACTGAAGCTTTAGATATTGATAGCACAGCACAAATCCGTGTGGGGACCCGCACGCACGGCCCTGCAGCTGTCCATCCCAGCGGGCAGCACTGGGGCTCGGGCACTGAGTTTTGCAATTAAAAAATCACCAGTGGAGACAGAGGCACAGCTCAGCCCAGCCCTTGGGGGAGCAAAGTGAAATAAAATCATTCCCCTTGCTTTCCTGCAACGAAGATGCAGGGGAGGATTTTGGGACACTCAGCTGAGAGGGGGCTCCTGCTCCCACCGTGTCCGGGGGGGAACAGGCTGG